AGCCAGGATGATATATCTTGGGTGCGGCCTTCCAAGGTGACTGTTGGTCTTAACGAGTCTATGACTTCTGCTGGAGAGTGGGAGTACTCGATCGATGAGGTGCGCGATGCCTTTGACAATATTGTCAAATACGCCGACTTGGAAGAAGATGAAAAGGCCCGTTCAAAGGGTCTCAAATACGGCTTCAAAGTCAAAGAGAGACCTAGAGCGAGTATGAATGGTTGCGACTTGCGTAATCCCTTCAAGGTTGCCAAGGGCCGTTCCGTCAGACTTCCTGTAGACTTCTCTCTGGCCGGTTCGAAAGACGATACATCCCACGAGGTCACGTGGGAGTTCTCACCCATCAACTCGCTCACCAACAGTGGTGAGCATGGAGACCAGGTCTCAATTGGAAACTACAACGCCAAGAACGCACTGGATAAGCCATTCGTGTCGGAGCCGGGTCTTTATACTCTAAAGACCGTGTCAAGCGGGTCTTGCAAGGGCGAAGTTAAAGAGCCGTCTTCATGCCTTCTCCTGAATCCATTGGAGCCGTCGCTCTCAATTCGATCAGAGGAGATCCCCGACAAATGTGCAGGTAACTCCATTGGACTGCGGGTGGACCTGGATCTCGTCGGAACACCGCCATTTGTTGTTCGGTACGACATCGTTACCAGTGACGGGCATATTGAGAAGCAATCCCACCGTGTCTCTGGTCTGCGATCTCAGCTGGAATTGGTGCCCAAGATGGCAGGTCACCACAAATACGTCTTCAAGTCCATTGATGATGCTGTTTATGACAATCTGCCTCTCACCGGCGAGGACAAGGTTTTAGAACAGGTTGTGAAGCCTGCCGCCTCGGCCAAAATCGCAAGTACCACCGGTGTTATCAATGCTTGTCTTGACTCGGAAGTTGAACTCGATGTCATCCTTTACGGTGAGGCTCCCTTCAATCTGGAATGGGAGATCGTTCATGATGGTAAACGCAAGTCTGAGCGAGTCACCGGTGTTCAAGAGAATAGCTTCAGGATCAAGACCAACACCCTCCGTAAGGGAGGAGAGTATATTCTTGCGTTGAGCAGTGTCCAGGATAAGCGAGGTTGTAAAACTTTCCTTCAGGACCAAGTCAAGATCGCTGTACGACGCCAGCAACCAAGAGCCGCCTTCGGATTTGTCGAACATAAGCAGAAGATCATGGCGGTGGAAGATACTCATCTACGACTACCCCTCCGTCTTGAGGGAGAACCTCCGTTCGAGATCAGCTACAGGAACCTCAACGGTAATGGCGAAGTGTTGACCAAGCGCGCCAACAACGCCAACGACAACCTGCTTGTCAAGTCACAAGGCGTCTATGAATTGGTGGATGTGCGAGATAGCCAGTGCCCTGGATCTGTCGTGCCAACAGCATCCCAATTCGAGGTGGGATGGTTCCCTAGACCAGAGATCTCGATTGTAGAGTCTCCCAGTATCACTTCAGACGGCAACACCTTGGTCAAGCAAGACATCTGTGAAGGAGACATTGACGGCTTCGAAGTCAATCTCAAAGGTAAGCAGTCAGCAGCATTTGACCCGAGAGTCTCGCTGACTAGTTACAGGATCACCCCCTTACCATGTCGAATATGAGGTTACCCACAAGTCATTCCAAGGCGCAAAGGCATTCACGCGAAAGGACTTCGACGCCGCCCTCGCCAAGGCAGCCATTTCTATGGATACCACCAAGGCTGGCGACTACACCTACAAGTTCTCTGCTCTTGCCGATAATCTCTACAATAGCGATAAGAACTTCAGTCCTCTTACTGTTACGCAGCGTGTCAATGCCAAACCTGCTGCCGGGTTTACAAAGCCAGGTCAGTCGTTCAAGTATTGCATGGAAGAGCAGGAGCACGAGGACAAGATCCCGATCAAGCTTACGGGAGTTGCTCCCTTTTATGTCGAGGTTGAGATCAAGCATCAAGCTGGCTCTCCCGCCGAGACGTATCGAATTCCGTCGATCGACTCAAACACGTATGGCATCAGGATCCCTCGTCAGCACCTGCGTCTTGGTGCCCAGCAGGTTCGCATTCGTACTGTTAGAGACGCTCGAGGCTGCCAGCGCAAGTACGAGATTGGAGGGCCCTCAGTGCAAATTCACCTCTACGAGGCTCCATCCATCTATCCTCTGGATGCTCGACGCGACTATTGCGTTGGCGAACGTATTGCATATACTCTATCTGGCACACCTCCGTTCGACATCTCATACGACTTCAACGGCCGATGGAATGCTAAGTCGACGACGACCAACTTCCGCCGTATTGCGGAGAAGCCTGGAGATTTCGTCATCACTAGCATCTCGGACAAGGCCAGCGAGTGTCGTGCTGCGGTAAACATCCCCAAGACTATCCACCCGCTGCCGAGTGTTCAGATCAGCCGCGGTAAGCAATCCCGCGTGGACATACACGAAGGCAACGAAGTGGATATTCTATTTGAGTTCTGGGGCACGCCACCCTTCGAGTTCACCTACACACGCAGCTCCAACGCCAAGAAGGGTCAACGCAGTGTTGTCCTCGAAACAAGACACGATGTATCTTATGAACACAGCAAGGTGGTCAAGGCGAGCCAGGAGGGTACGTACGAGGTTGTTGCGATCAAGGACAAGTTCTGCTCGTTCTCGACTCAGCAGGTGGAGAAAAAGCAAAGAAGATAGAGCTGTTAAAGACGGATTGAGAAATGATATGGGCAAGGACAGTTTGAAAAGAATTGACCTTTTTGGCTGTTTGATAAATAGTAGGTAATGAACGGATTGTACTGCCAGGGGCGAGGACGATCAACAACGAGGAGGGACACTGAGTTGTATATATGCATCTATACCATGGCATGGCGTTAAGTAGGGTTAATCAGAGCAAGATTGAATAAGTAAGACTTGTAACGTTTATTCAGAGAAAGAAGTGCTTCTCATAGGCCTGACTGACTGACTGACTGACTCTCTTATCAAGAGTGATTGATCTGTTTGAATGGGAGTCCCCCCTGCTCATGCATCAAGCTACAGTCTTTCGGAGTCTAGATGGATGGGTCGAAGCACCTCGTCCGTCCGTGGCTGGCTCTGTAGCCATGCCCAAGAATTCGCATCAGCACCAGTGCCCTTCCAGCCCCGTTCGTTTAGCATCAAGATACCCATTGGCCGGGACTATTAGCAACCGATTCAGGTCTCGAGGGATAGACCCAAGTTATTCATTCATTGGCCAATTCCATTCAGGTTCTTTTTGATATCACCACGGAGCAGAGCAGTTACGGGTCAGTTTCTTACTGGCAGGTAAATAGTAAGCTACAAGACTGGTGGTGGCCATTCTAGGTAGATCCAGAGTCCGGTAGATGGAATAAGCAGTCGAATCTGGAGCTTGTGGTGACATGCTCACGACCCCTTCAGCGGGTGCACTACAGCACCTTGCCGCCACAAGTTCAACGGTCGCTCATGTACGGAGTAAGCAATTGCGCTTTGTCTGGAGGGTTACTTTGGAGTCCGAGGCACAATAAATAGTTGCTAGGCCCGCTCGGACGGATCAGCAACTATCGATTGACGAGAGAGACAGGCATTGGCCATGCCATACAGAAGGTCAAGTCCCTGTCCCTCTTAGACGATTGCAGTACAATACATACATGACATGACATGATATGATATTGATGCCGACGTCATCTCTCATGTTATTTAGCGCCAAGACTGGACCTGGCCTCGGTAGTGTCTTTGTCTCGACCTTCTAGTCTGCAGCAGCGCAGTCTCGACTATTCCAAAGCCATCATGTCAAAGTATAACAGGGTCTGGATGACAGGGGATAGAAATTGGATACTCTATCGGTCCCTAAGGTACTTTCCAAAGACAAGAGGAATATTTCCCTCCAAGCACAGGCACAATCACAGGCACGAGCACGAGCACAAACACAAGTATAGGTCTGCTTGCTTGCTTTACTTACAAGACTTACCTATCAATGGTTGCACAGGATTCAGATACATCCACTATCGTACAACACAAACACCCGGCTCTATACCGCATTTCACTGCGCAGCCAGAGCTCAACGGCGCCCAAGTCTGCGGTGCAACGGCTGACGGATGCTACAGTACATTATGGCGCTATAGGCAGAAAGGCCCCTTCTGAACAAAGCCCATCGAGGGAATTCGTGTGCCCAAAACTCGCTCGCTCCAAAGTCCAAAGTCCAACCCCACCATTCGAAACGGTCCAGAACTCAATCGATCTGCACCTCCCTGTGCCACACCTACGCAACCTTGCAAACGTTAACTTGTTGTATGTATGTAATAGGGACGTGCTTGGGTATTTATATCTGTCATCTGTTCTCTGCTGCTTGAAACACTTTTGGTCTGTCGTTTCCGACATTTCCGTCCTTCTCCATCCATCCGTCCACCTACCACAACACTACCCATATGTACATATACTACCGATAACCACGGATTAAACTAACTATTCAAATATCCATGCTCAACCCCCTTAGCAGAAACAAATGTCGAATACGAATACAGCCTGACACAAGAGGCCAGTCGATTAGGTGGTGTGCGAAGCTTCACTGGACGGACAGTGCCCTCCTCATGTCCATGAGATGGGATCTCAACAACTCAGCACTTTGGGACCACCAAGAAAGCGAAAATGTTGCATGGTGGGCCAGGCTGGCGCCCAAATGACAATCATATTATCGCAGGTATCAAAACTTGTTCATCAGACCTTCCAAACACTCCCGAAACAAATCCACGAACGCGCCAGGGACAACTACCTGCCTGCCTGCCTGCCTGCCTGCCTGCCTGCCTGCCTGCCTGCCTGCTGTATCTCTGCTACATGTCTTTGTTCGTCAAGGGATCCGGGCTCAATGCGTCTCCCCGATCATAAATGCGAAATATACGACAACAAAATCCTTCTTCCACGACGGCCAACACCAATAAGCCATCTGTCTTAGAATGCCCATCCTGTCTCGCTCCGAACGCCATACTCCTCATGATGTAGCGTCACACATACATCAGGCACATATCACTATACCAGTGGCTCAGACGTAGGTCCGCTGGCGCTTTTCTGGTGGGCTTTGGCCATCCATTCGCCCTTGGCTGCTTTGTGAGATGCTTGTTGGGAAACTAGCTCGGCTCGCACTGGTGGGCGTCAGGCCGTACTGGTTTGCGCCATTTACCATGCCGTAGCCTTGATCCATCCCTGCGGCCATGGGAGACTGCTGCGGCATCTGTCCCGGGGACCAAGTGGCACCAGTCGCTGGCGGCGTGGGCGTTGTCTCGAACTTGAAATTCGTTCCGCCGGGAGTGTTCAAGTTGCTCGGCGGGTTCATGTAACCTGCGCCACCGACTACATAACCTGAGCCTGATTCTTGTTGAGTCGAAGGGTCATAACCCTTAAGAAGATAGCTCAAGTGATTTTCGACAATCTTCTGCATTCCACTCTTGGTGAATGGCTTGGCCAGAACTCCATTCATACCTAGTGATGCAAAATTAGTTCCCATGTTCGTTCGCAACTCCTGCTTCAGCTAGCGCTTACCGTGTTCAAAATAGCAGTGGACCTCGTCAGATCGGATATTCGACGTCATAGCAACAATGGGGATGGCAGGGCAGTCTTGCCGAATATACATGGTTGTCGAGACACCATCCAGTTTGGGCATTATGATGTCCATGAAGATCATGTCGAAATGATCACGGGCAACACTAGTAATACGGCTATATGCGTCTGCTCCGTTTTGCTAACCAATGGTCAGTCAGGTGGCCCAATAGGATCATTGGGAAAATCACTTACAGCATGCTCGACTTCACAGCCCATCGACTTGAGAAACTTGATACCAATCTTAGCACAAGTCGGGTCATCTTCAACAAGGAAAATCCTGGGTTTTCGTGACGCCCAAGTGAGGGCCGAGTTGGTCGACGAGTTAGAGTTTGCGTGTGTTTGGATGTTGATGGGCTGGGGAGCAGGGACCTCCTGCATGGCGTTGGCGCTGGACTCATTCGGCATCGCATAAGGGATTTTGTGGATGTGATCTGAGTGGAAAGGATCGATGCCGACGGTTTGACCCACCGGGTACACGGGGTAGCGGTTGATGTCGTTCATTGGATCATGCATCATTGGCATTGAGGCTTGTGGGATGACGACTGCGGAGTCTGCCGGAGATCCATATACGCCCTGAAGACGTTCCAGCTCTCGGTCGGCAATTTGATCAGGTGTCACGCTAGACAGAAGCTCACGAGCCCGTCGCAGTTCTGGTGCCGAATCGTCACTACTATCCAGAGGAGATGTCCCGACATTGAGGTGCATGCCCTGTTGATGACGGTTGCCTGAAGGTGAGAGGAAATTAAGCATTTCGTGCTGCGATTGCTTTTGCGCATTGAGCATTTTTTGCAAAGTCAGAACCTCATTCACAAGAAGTCGGTTGGTCTGAGACACTTCAGTGAAGAGCTCCTGAAGCTGTTGAACTTGCTGCTGGGTAGCTGTCAGTTGTTCAGTCATGACACTGATGTGATGGCTGGTTGTGAAGTCCTCTGTGGCTTGTGTCCTCCTTGGTGCTGGGGCCTTTCGACGAATGTTATCGAGATCATCCTTGCTGCCCACCCTGAAATTGGGATGCTTGAACTCGAGAGTCTAGCTTTTTGGTCATTATTGGCTTTAACATCCAACGGTCAGGTAAACTCACATTGGCACCATTGGCCGCAGATCCACTGTCATTTGTTTGTCGCACTTTATGGAAATCGTACTTGTTCAATTGTCGGACAAAACTAGCCATGTTGCTGTGCTTGAAGTGCTTAGGCAAGATTGAGCGTGTGAATTTTTCGTTCTAGGCCTATTAGCGTTTGATGGTTACAGTCGATTTCAGCTCAAGCCTACCTCAACAACGACGAACGTATCGCCATCTTTTCCCCATCTTGCAACGTCCTGATGCGCTGGATCTTCGAGCATCCTTGATTCTGTTAGCATTGCATGCACAGGCAGCTACAAGTAGCCATACCGATAAAGCTTGCGAACCTTTCAGAGGTGTCAGTTGTGATGTAATCAGCCACTGTCGTCTTGTCGACTTACAAACTCGCTGGCATTGCTGCCACCAACCCCGGGGGTTGAGGTTCCGTCACCAGACATATTATGTGTTTATATAAGGAGTGCCTTTGCTACTCTATGGTTTGCTTCGAGATGATTTCGCCACCGGTTTGCTATCAGAACAATACGGATTGTTCAAGAGCCGATTCGACGGATAACGGATAGAAGAGGCGTTTAACCGGGCCGAGTCGCCGTTGATCGTTGTCGAACCTTAGGTAACAAACAATAAGTCAAAAAAGAACGGTTCTGGTTCTTTTGAACAGAGGATGAATGGTCTTCGATGCGCCGAGCCGAGATGATAACGAATGGCGTAAGGGCTAGATGCAGACTCGAGAACTGGACGCGTTGATGTTCAGTCGTCACCAGCAGGTCCAGGGGCTCGAAGGCTTTGCTGGCTAGAGTGCTCCAGAATGAATAAAAGAGTCTTCGCAGGGAGATCGAGGGCGACGATGCGATAGATGAGGGCCGTCGCAATTGCAAGACCAAGGGGCTGAAAATGGGAGGGAATGAGGAACGGGAAACGGGGACCGGGCCTGAGTTGTATCTCAAGACAGACAAAGTTGGGAGGCCGTGTGAGCGGGAGTGGACACAGGCGTGGGTGGAACGGAATAGCCTGAGCCTGCTTTTGTCTCTGAACTCGAGTGGCTTGGCTTTGGCGGGGGGTCGTAGTGACTTACCTCCTGGCCCGGATATGTGGATATTGCCAGGTACCCAGTACCTAGCGCACCTTGCTCAACACGCTCTGTTCCGAGAGCAGATGGCACTTCCCACTTGGGCTGGGGCAGGGGGATCTGTGCTTTTGCTGGTACTGGTGCTGATGCTGATGTCGCTGCTGATGCTCTGAGCAAGGCGAAAGAGAAAAGCTTGAGCCGGAGTGGGCTTTTCCAGCCAAGGTTGGTTTAGCCTCAACCAAGATCGTGGTGGGAATGAAGCGCTATTGCGCGAACAAGTCTGGCGGCCGTCCCTGTGGGGTGTTCCCTTGTGTCCATCCAAAGCTTTTTGGTCCTTCACAGCACTCCATGACCCTTGGTTGGCTGCCCAGTTGTACTGGAGATCGTCCCCAAATTCGACTGTGTGGAGGTGATCATGGCGCACCGTGGCCACTATGTGACCTAAGCTCCGTTTGGAAGATCGCCAGCTGGTGAAGAAGCGAGAGAAAAAAACCACACAGCTGTTGAGATATCCATTCTGCTACTGTCCTGGCTTTGGCGCCATGTTGATCGTTATCGCGCCGTGCGTACGGAAAACAGGACATCCACTACAAACACGAAGCCGGTCACGACGAGGTATTCGCTGCAAGAACGACGGGTCCGTCAGATTTGTGTTCCTCTTTCTTTGGTCCCATTGTTTCTGTCACTCCTGGCTTGGTTATGTCAGGAAGGCTGTTGGAGCTGTCCCGTGTCTTGGTTCCATTTGTAAAGCCATGCCGTGTTGCGCCATGCAGGGAGGCGGATGCAGGTGGTGTTATTCAAGACTTGGGCAGCCGACAGCAGAGATAAAGAATGCTTTACTTTGATGTAGCAATAAACGCCTGGCCAGCGTTGTGTCCAGGTGCTTGCGCTATTGTGTCAGCTTAAACTTTCAACGTGACCAATCAACTCAGACTTTCACTAGATGAGAAAGTGGTCGTAAAGTGTTCCTAGTGTTGAGTACTGGGGCCACGTTCCTGGCTGCATTTGTAGCATGCTGTGGAATGCTGGGAATTTCTCTCACTCGATCAACGGAAGACACATGTCGTGGTTGTAGCTCATGACTCGGGATTGAAGACCCAGCAGTCTGGAAATCTGGCTACTGTCTAAATCATGTAGCCACAACCATAGTTCTCGTCGATACAGCAACATTGATTGACATCAGATGGATATAATCGTAGTTTGAGTGGTATTGATAAATGCGACTGCCTATTTCTAGGCTCCAGATAGAGACATATCGTTGTTAGCTAAGCTCGGCGGTTCCCTGGTCAAGCCAAACGCCAACGTTCCTAACTAAACAGTAGTGAGACTCCCAGTTGTCGGGGATGAATAATTAAGGGTCTGTCTTGAGACTGTGTTGCCCTCGAGGTGTATGAAACCATGACTGGTGTTTCCATACAGATTCGATGTAAGGGCCGGTCAGGTTTTCTTACACCATTAGACCATGTAAGTTGCGTTGACTGAGGACCCAGTATTGGGCGCTGGCGCCTTGTGAGAAGATCTGCGAGAATCACGATGTAGCAAGATCGGGGCATTGACACAGCGCCAGGGATAAAATGCTGAGAAAACCCGAGGACCTTAGTCTACCCCGTAGATTGCAACACCATGCTCAATCAACAGCCTAGCCGTTGCCTTGGAAGAAAGCTGAAAAGACATAAGGGACACGTTCCGAGAGAATAGCTTATGAGAGTGAGGAACCAGTCCGCTAATGACCACTTGCTGTAGACGTTTCGGTTATCGTCGAACCAGAGTCATAGAAGGTCAGCCAAGAACTGAGACGACACACTCAGCCTCAGCCAATGCTAGAGTACTGGCCGCAGCATATCAGGTCTTAGTGTTGTCCTTGCCCGGAATGGTCATCTTTCCTCGCATGCTGCGGTACGGATTTAGCTGTAATAAGGGAGATCAGCGAAGCTGAATAGAGTCCAAGCAATATTGAGTAACATTGAAAGTGGAAGCCGGAACTCGATCTAGCAATGCTAGACCAGGGTATGATAATGTTTCTTTTTAGCCTGTTCTTTTTCGCGTCTATTCCTGTTATAGGATATCGAGCACTGTTCTTTACTGTACGGTTCGGGTGCTTCGTGGTCGTCGGGTAGAGGGCGCTGAAGAAGCGACTGCCGCATCTTATTGAACGTCAAGATAGACTCTTGAACCCCAAGATACTCTGTCGGGAAGCAATAGTTTGTTCAAATGTGGAGGTCAAGATAGAAACAAGCGAGAGGTCCATGATCGGTCGAGACCGTGGCCGTTGGCAAAGAACGAGGGCGAGAACGAAGCGGGTAGCTGCCTTCATTACAACTGTACGAGCGGATGCGGGCACACTGTGCACGAACCGCAGATATGGAAATCGCAATCTGTCACCTGCCTAAAACTAATCTGGCGACCTAACACAGTGCACGGTTGAGAATTCCTTAAAAGGGCAAAGAAGAAGGGAGGGCCCAGCGCTCGTACTCCGTAATAAAAGAATGATTTCTGAAGATGACTGTGGCTGCTGGGCCCACTTTTGATAAGATACTAGAGATACATCAAGCGAAATAACAATCGCTGATCACAATAAAGTTATAGTAGCTATAGCCAGTAATTTACTGATAAGACTTCCCTAAGTACCCTATAACTATAGGGCCTCTATAGGGCAGCCCTTCTGTATCTATCTTATCGCTTGTATATGCATGTACCTAGCAGGGATTAGCAATTGTGGCGTAAGTCATCTTGGGCAAAGACTTTTGAGATGTACCTCCGTAGTTCTTTTGAATTATTATTAGGGCCTATTTGCGGGGTTGTTTAATGACAGGGGGAGAGGACCCTGAATTCCTGAGATTTGCCTTACCTTTGTAGCTTTTATCACTGAAAACCCTCAGATGGAAGACTTTTGTTGGCCTGGCCTTGGTCTCAAAACATCATTTAGGTACTCTGTACAGTTTGTGCTCATGAATAACACTAGGTAGGGCAGCGTTTTGAAGCACATTTCGCAAGATCACTCTCAGGGTTAGGTAGGTCGAGGGCATCTATAAAGCTGGGTTACCACCCCAAACCTAACCTAATTGACTTGCGACTGTCTAAATTGAGAGACATCTGCATCAATTCTACGACCGAGACATACTCAGGACCCAAGACATATAAAAAGACAGTTGCGGATGCCTTCGTGAATGTATTGAACGCAAACAACATTTGACAGCCACACTAACCCATGGCCATCTCCCAGCCGGCAAGGTTTCGTTGCATGGTAGGTCGTCTGAGACCATCGCTTTGACTATCATATTTCAAGTTGTGAACTTGTGTCTCTCATTGTCTCGGATATTTCCCTCGTTCGTCAAGGAACCAGATCCAACAAGGGACAACTCTACAGTTGATCCTTGGACAATTCCAGCTGCCGGAAGCCCCATCCACCCTCTAATTTAGCAGATGTTTTCCTTGCTCAAGATGAAAGATGCTAAAAAAGAAATCAAACGACCCGAAAGTTGTCGGACCGCCGGCGAAGCCGCATAGATAAATGTTTCCTCTCTAGTTTAGTCCCCGATCGGGCGCTAGCGCCTCCCGGAACCGAAGCGACACCAAGTCTTCTCACTCGATGAGTACTGCCTGTTCCTGAGCATGTGCCTGTCGTTTGAATGCCGCCAGGCTCGTGCTTGAAAGGGCTTCATTGAGAGACGCCATTATCGAACCAGTTCGAGTGTCAGCTGTCTGTCAAAAGTCAAACCCCCTCCTCCAAAGCCAATAGCTCCTTGTTAAACGAAACTTAGACGCTCGAGCGTCTACGCTTGCCGAGAAACAGACAAAGCGGAAGCACAACTACTGAGATACCTTGTGGAGGTAACAAATATGTCAGTGTTTGGGTGTTTTCGGGATTTGACTGGTCCGCGTGTTACAGTCAAGGCTCCGAATATAGTGAGCTGAAGTGTTATGCCTGCCAGCCTGGTATGTGTAGCAAAGTGAAGTCTGGAATGTCCACCGAAGTCTATCGGAACCCATCGTTCGGCGTCGGGTAATATTATTTCCAACAGGTTGTTGAAGATACGGGCGAAGTGCTTTGGCAGTGGAGTGGAGTTGGAGGGTTGGTGCGATTACTCAGCAGAGCAGCTTGACCCACTCACCGAGGTGAGAGCCCCTACACCGAGGTGAGGTGGGGAGGTAAGGTAGGTTCTGTTGATTGAGTCACTGGAAATTTGACCTAACCCCACGGTTCGCGTGCGCTTCAACTTAAACTTCACAACATTCGCCCAAATATCTCGGACGCAACGCTCTACCCGACAAGTAATCATGTCGCACAAGGGCAATAGTGGCAAGGGCAAAAAGTCCTCAAAAACAGGAGCCGAGAGCAAAAGCGAGGATGTTCTCCAGGCGGTTGTAAGTGACATGGCGGGGTATCTTTTTCTTCAAGACCGGCGCAAGCTCACAGCGTATTCTTCAGGTCCTCGCCGACTCCTTTCAAGACAGATTCAAGCCCTTCACCACCGAGAAGCCAAGAGTATGCCCTTCTGTTCGTCTCGGCCGTGTGCTCGTACTAATGGGCTTGTTCGCAGTGTCTTCTCCCTCTCGCAAACACCCCCCTCATCGAGTATACCCTTGAATTTCTAGCCATGAACGGTGTCAACGAAGTCTACATCTACTGTGGTGCTCATACCGACCAAGTCGAAGACTACATCAGCCGATCTCGGTGGTCAGCAGCCGCGCGCACATCTCCCTTTTCCGTTCTACAATTTGTCCGAGTCTCCGATGCACGATCAGCCGGCGATGTTCTACGAGATATGGACAAGAGATCTCTTGTCGACGGCGATTTTATCCTCGTTCATGGCGACCTCGTGTCCAACATAATGCTTGATGGTGCTCTGGCGGCGCACCGAAAACGGAGGCAAGACAGCGCAGCCAATATCATGACAATGGTGTTGCGCAGTGGTGGAGAGGATGATCACCGAACAAAGACGAACGGAATCACGCCCATTTTTGTGGTCGACACAAAAACTCAACGATGTCTTCACTACGATGAGATGAACCCCTTGGCAAGCGATCGATACATGTCATTAGATCCAGCTGTCGTGGATGAGCTATCAACCGAATTCGAGATTCGATCCGACCTCATCGATGCTCAGATCGACATTTGCACACCCGAGGTACTTGCGCTTTGGTCAGAAAGTTTCGACTACGAGCTTCCCAGGAGGAACTTCCTTCACGGCGTGCTCAAGGACTGGGAGCTGAACGGCAAGATGATCTATACCGAGATTTGCGAGGAGGGTTACGCAGCCCGAGCAAGCAATCTACAGCAGTACGACGCCATCAGCCGCGACATTCTAGGCCGATGGACTTATCCCTTCATTCCAGAGTGCAATATTGTTCCTAAGCAGGCTTACCAGCGTCACAGACCAGGGGTTGTGGTCGAGCACGGTGCATTCTACGCGAATACTTCCCAAGTCCAGAACTCGGTCATCGGACGCAACAGCTACATTGGCCCGGAAAGTAGAATCTCCAATTGCATAATCGGACGAGACTGCAAGATTGGCAAGAATGTCATTTTGAAGGACTGTTACATCTGGGACGACACCACTGTCGGGGACGACGCAAGAATATACCGATCTATCGTGGCAGATTCGGTCACTATTGGAGAGAACTCAACTATAGCAGAAGGCAGCCTCATCTCCTTTGGTGTCACCATTGGCAAGAGCATTAGTCCCCCTAAAGATACTGTTATTTCATGCGTCGATTCTGAGGGCAATCCCTTGACGCCGGATACCGAGTTGCTTGGATCTGGTACCAACGCCGCAGCATTCAAGGACCCTGAGGACGATGAGGTTGACGAGAGAGACCCCTGCCAACTTCAGAAGAGTCTCATGTACAACCTTTCCCAGTTCAATATCTCCACCTCATCGGTGTCGACACTGTCTTCCGAAATCTCTGAAGATATTCCGGATGAGAATTCGCTGCACATCGACACCACCGACCCTTCCCGCCGCACGTCCTTCGCCTCCGATGATGCTGGCGACAAACTCTCATTCCACAGCGAGGCCGTACACGGTCTGGTCGACGCTCTTCGTGCCGAGTCCGGTGATTTCGATTCGGCCAAGCTTGAGTTCATGGGCTTGCGTCTCTCCAACGATGCCTCGGACGCTATGATGCGCCGAGCTGTGGCCACTGCATTTGCCCGTCGCGCAGTCGAGCTCATGACCCCCGAGCACGGCAATCTCGAACCCAGCAAGGCTGCTGAACAAGCGTTAAGGGCTCGCAAAGGTGCAACAAAGTTCATCAATGAGGTCGGAATTGGTGGCGACGATGATAATGAGGCCGAGCAAGTCGAGTTCATCATTGCACTCCAGAAGGCACTCACGCGCTCCCAAGGACCTGAGCAGTCCCGTGTTGGCACTCTCCTCGCCGCCATGCTACAGCAGCTATATGCGCTCGATATCCTTGAGGAGGAGGGTATTCTGAGTTGGTGGGGGAATGAGCGTGCCGTTGAGGGTGAGGCTATGACATTGCTGAAAGAAAAGTGTCGCGTGTTGGTGGAGTGGTTGGAGAACGCCGAGGAGGAGGATGACAGTGATGAGGAATAGATGGTTTTGCGTCATTCTGACTGTAAACATCACGGAGTACAAAATAAACAAAGGGACATGGCTTCTTATATATATAAAAAAGTCTAACACAAGACACCTTCCTACCTGTTTATGTGGTTTCAGTCAGAGTCTGGACTGTCGCCAGTAGCCGTAAGAACCGGGTGTATCATATTTACACATCGCCTTCATCCAGACTTTGTTAGTTGGGTTTGCCTCTACATTTGCCTTGCTACCTGATATGTTTACAGCCTATCTAGACAGAAAGGACAAACTGATTATACCCATAGAGGCAATCATCTTTGAGGCCACTTTAACTGATCCTCCATCTTCTAGACTGCTTAATACTATCAGGCCTTTCCCTTTCATCTCACGAGACTCTTGCATGAACGTCCCTATCCATGTTGGCTTTGCACTTAAGATAGGGAGAGCAAAATCTTATCTGCTGACTCTGTCCATGTTGCTCAATAGGGGTATCTCCAACTTGATTATTTCCCTGCTTCCGGAATCCAGGCTATACTAGTATCTAGTCATGTGCATGTAAGATCTGAAATTGCATGGGTTGTCTGGTCACACTTCTTGAATAATCGTATACCTACAGTTCATCAAAGTCTTCATTGATATGGGATACCTTGATCAAGAATAGTAACCATAACACTCGGCGTTATCATATCATCCCCGAGTAGTGTCATGAGATAACCCCAACCTTGACTTAATTGCCGTAATATAACTGATTTTTAAGATAGTTCACCGGCTTAGTCCTTGCTCAGCCGTAAGCTAAAGGAACTGACCTCAACATGGAGTATCCTCCGGCTCGATGAGCCCTGCACAAATGTAGCGCTTCAGTTGTGGCACCTTTGATACGCACGATTCCTGCCTATTCAACACATGTATGTATACGGCCGTGATGGTGGATATCTGCCTACCCTATATCGTTTAGTCTAAAATATCCAGATATCACAACCGATTGACTAGACTAGAGTTTATGGTCTGTTTTCTTTAGTTTGCCCAGAATATCTACCCGGGTATGAAGAAGTCCTACAAGCACCTATATTATGTTCTCATGCTATTTGTTCGACGTTAACTGTTCACTCCGTTCGGTCAGCGATGGAAGGGAAAATGTAGACCTTACGATGTGTAGAGCCGCACATATCTACCTCTATTGTGCTTTACTTACTCTTGCCTTCAAAGCCACTATTCTATATAAACGCTATCCAGAAGACGAGGAACATTCTAGCCTTGGCCTAGAATGCAATCCGTTGTGACCCAAACAATGTGGATAACCAGCGCAGCCATGAGACGGCTTGTAGCTGTAATGTTGAGGGACATGATAGCAAACCCACACGAGTCATAACCCATTAAATGACATGTCACGATTCAGTTCTTCGGCGCAAATCGTTCCCCTTGATAGCAGAATGGCGGTGATCATGAGTCGATAAAGGACGCGTCAACATTGTCGACATTTGCATGCAACTATCACCAAACTCACCACCACCACCACCACC